GACCCAATAAGTTTTGGTTTTCTCTCTGCTACACATTTCAAACCAGTTTTCCATGGCAGGGGTAGCTCCTTAGAGATTCTCTGCTTCAGATATTAGTTTAGATTCTTCTCCGCCTCTCCCTTCAGAATCCCCTAAAATGGAGATGTGGTATTTTTCTCATAATTGAACTCACATACAGTTGACTAGTTTGGGGAGAGGACATCCCTTTAAAACGCTTCTCATAGACAGGAAGAGCTAACAGCTATGGGGAGGAATGCATGGCCTTCTATTTGAGATTGGTTTTCTATATAGGGATGTCTCCATTGTGTAAGTGTCTGTAAGACACGCATTCAGGAATGTTTTGCCACCAGTCAGCTGAAAACATTTGCCAGAGAAATCTTCCATCATTTCACACCCACACACACACACACCCCTCTCCTTTCCTAAAACTTTGCAATTCCTCACTGTTGGAATAGAAAGAACAGTGGCTTCCAGGGCTTATACAAAGAAGCCATTGTGTTCTCTCCTGTCCGTTCAGGCTCTATCCAGTTCCACCTTCCGGGAATAAGGCTTTTGAAAGGAGAAAGGTGTGAAGCCATGTTATTTCTGGTGACCACCATGTAGTTGCACTTAGTGTGCAATCGTGACAACAAGGATCATATCTGCTTTTTCCCACTGGTTATCCTCAATAAGTAAAATAGCAAGAAAAATAACACTTGTTGAAAAATACACAGAAAGAAATAGATGATTGAATGAGCCTTTGTGACCTCATCTTCCATACTGTCCCCCTTGCTTACTTCACTGCCACCACACCACCCTCCTTACTTTTTTTGTCTCAGGTCATTTGCAAAGGCTATGTATTCCCTCTGTGTGAAGTACCCAGCTATCAGCTGGATTGGCTCGCTTATCTCTTACAGGCTTTCAGTGAAGTCTCACTTTATTAGCAAGTCTTCCCTATCTATGCTAACTAAAATTGTACATCCCTGCCTCAAAATTCGCTCTCTTCCATTTGACTATATTTTTCTCTTTGCATGGGCTAACATACTTTAAAATGTTACTATATTGTGTCTTTGACTGATGGTCAGTTTCACAAGGACAATGATTTTTGTTCTCCTGCCCCCCCATACTTTGGAAAGCACCTGACATTTCATATGTGCTCAGTAAATATTAGTCAAATGAATGAATGAAATAACAGATATGCAGGACCTATTTCACTAGGTTTGAAGCCCCAAATCGGGGATCTTGGTCTGCAGACTATCACCTATTGCTTATATGCATCCTTGAAAAGCTTCACTTAATTCATCAGAGCTTCCGTTTAACTGCTAGGAGATAATAGCAATTAGAAACAAAGACTCATAACAGTAAATAGCAAACAGGGACAGTCTCACAGAATAATTCTGAGAGCAATACGAGAATGTGGATGTGCACTAAGTAGTCTACTGGTGCCGGCAATTAATTTCTGAGGGGTGGAAGCAAAGGAAGGGTGAGAAAGGTTCCAGGTTCCATGAGCAATAGAAGGATCAGCTGGCTTTGACAGTCTTGTCTAGGCTACAAAATGCAGTCTGCTGCATTTTGCTAAGCAAAAATTGACTTCTCTTTGTCTTTTGAAATACCAGCCTCTATATTTGAAAAATAAAATCTGGGGGGAGGGAGAGCAGCCCGGCATCCTGAACTTAAATATAGAATATATAATTAAATATAGGCATGCAGGGGAGAGGCAGAGAGATTGCATGCACAATAGTATTTTGGGTGAAGCAGTCATTGAGGTATTTGTTTGTTCCATTATAAGGAATTTTGTACTTCAGATGCACTGCCATACCTGATGTAAAGTGAGCATGTAATACTTAGGTGTAGGATAATTGTCACAATGGAACATTTCATGAGAAAAATTTCCTGACAGCGTTAAGCAGCAGTATTAAAATTACTCAAGAGAAAACTGCATTTTTTAAAAAAAATTAGGATAAATTTCTCTGTGAAATACTAACTGTAATGAATATGCCATAATCAACCTTGCTGTATCTATTTGGACATTTTCCACATCCCCAGTGGTTAGTCTAATACCAATTAAATCATCACAGGATGCTATTATCTTCTTGCATTATGATTTTCATAAATTAATTTTGTTTTAAAAAATCAGGCCTTTTCCAAATGAGAATAAATTTAAATATCTAAGGTGTGAGTGTGAGGCTGATGTCAGGACCCATGCATATCTATAATTTTAAAATTCTGAAATCACAGAATCGGGAATAATCCTTAAAGAATTGAAAATGGTGGCACTGACCTTTTGGGTCACTTAATTATTCCCCTTGCTGTAAGGGGAGAATCCAGATAGTAACTTTTGTTTTTCTTCTTCTGAAATTAATTATCATTCTCCCCTTATATTCATTTATTTGTTCCTCCATCCATCCACTCACTGTTTTAATCTTTTATTAGATAAATATTAGGCATCATTTAAGGGCCTGGAATGCTGCTTAGCACAGGGGCATGGTTGGGTCAGGGGCCAAGGGGGTGGGGGATAAGGGACTTCTGTAATACTGTTAACAATAAAAAAATAATAAAAATAATTAATATTAAAATATGCTAATATCATCTTTTCCCAATACATTCTAGTTTAGTGGAAGAAACAAATAGGTTAATAAATTAGCATAATGTGACAAAATATGTCTTATAATAGAAGCATGGACAAGATATGTCTTATAATAGAAGTATAGACAAAGTGCTGACTAGATAAATCACAAAGGCTAATGAAACATGAAGTGATAACTATCTAAATACTCTAATGTTTAGAAGAAGAGTATTTCAGGCAAAGGTAAAATGTACACAAGGATAAGGAGATATGAATGGGCATATCAAGGCCTACAAGGATTAGTTAGGTATGGCTGGAGTTGTGCCTATGTGTCTCTGAGGGGCTTCGGGAGATGGAGAAATGAAGCTGGGTAGGTTGAGTTCTAATTGTGAAGGACCTTCTTGATCACCAACAGGAATTTACATCTCTTTCTGTAACAGGAAACTATTACAGATTTTTGTTTTTAAGATAATGGTGGCAAAGAGGTGGAGGGCTACAATAAACAAGACAAATCAGAAGACAAATTAGGAGGTTATTGCAACTGTGCAAACCAGATGAAATAAAGGCCTTGATTAAGATAGTAACAGCCAGACAGAGAGTTGGGAAGAGAATAAAAAGATGACTAGGGTCTAGAAACTGATTAGAAATAAAACATATGGGCATTTATGTTATCATGCCAAAATATTCAGTGGGTATATGAAATTAAAAAACAATAAGACTTTCCACATTTTTGAACAACGTGAAGAAAATGGAGAACTAGAAATGTTAAGCAGTATATTCTCGGTCTGCTCCATGCTTTTTCTCAAGGATATTAAGCCCCTCTACATTTTCTCCATCTTCATCTTTTGTCTTCAGTCACATGTTTTCATGGTGAGTCATGACACTGACCCATGTTATGACTGCATTGGTTCTAATATAAATGCATAAAGTCAAGTAAATGCAGTGACCAGAGCGAAAATTTCTGCTCTTTTTCACACCATAATTTTAGTCTTACATTTTATGGTTAGGGAGGGAGAGGCCAAGTTAGCAGTGATAGGGAAAAGAGGGTCTGTTCTTAGTGCTAAAAGACTCAAATTTTTTTCAAAATTGGGAAATAGTTTTTATAGTATGACTAGAGGCCTGATGCATGAAATTCGTGCAAGAGTAGGCCTTTGCAGCCCTGGCTGCCTTGTCCCTCGCAGCCCCAGCCTCATCCGGAAGGTCATCCTGAAGGTCGTCTGGACAGTCGTTCAGCTGTTCAGCTGCTTGGGTGATTTTCATATTACACTTTTATTACTATAGATTAGTTTTAACTACCCTGAGCTCTCAAGTTTACATAATAAATTTATGTAAGAAATGATTTATATTACCAAAACCCTCTGTTATCTGATTCTAAATTACTAGCCACTCCTCCATATGATTATTGAATAATACTGACTAATATTGAATAATATTAAATTATCCAAATATTTGAAATTAAAATAGTATATGCTTTATGTAATATCTGGAATACTTTTGGAAAGAGAAATTAGAAATAAAACTTTTGCCCTAGCTGGATTGGCTCAGTGGATCTAGCGTCAGCCTGTGGACTGAAGGGTCCCAGGTTTGATTCCCATCAAGGCACATACTCAGGTTGCTGCGGGCTCAGTCCCCAGTAAGGGGTGTGCAGGAAGCAGCTGATCAATGATTCTCTCTCATCCTTGATATTTCTAACTCTCCCTTCCTCTCTGAAATCAATAAAAGAATATAAAAAAAGAAGAAATATAACTTTGAAAGTCTATATCCATAAAATAACATAAATTACAACTGAAAAAGTCATGGATCCCATTCTGACCATTAATGAGGATTACACAGATGATGTGCAGAGAACAAAAGAGATGGCTTGAGATGAGAATGCCCATTGGTGCTAGACCCATACATTGGCCATATTACTCTGCCATACTTATCAGCATTAAAGTGTGAATGAGTAAGGTTCATACTTTATCAAATTATAAATTACTGTAGACATGGATGCTCAGATAAGCCTATGAACAGTTAAGATTGCAAGTATTAAGTCTTTGAATTCAAATTGAATACTACTACATAATATTGTTTCTACAATTATTTTACCCTTTTATGTTAAAATGATTGTCTGTTGTTTTCTACATACTTTCTCCCTTGATCTTAATGAACATTTTCTTAAGTTTGTGCGGAATGCTGTCCAAAATACTCACAAGAAATGCTTACTATCCTTGTATCAGTTTCTTATAACACCTGTTTATTTTAGGTCCCATTTATGGGTATGTGTTTCTCTGAAATAAAAAATGTTCTAAGAGTTTATAATCCTCTAGGAGAGATACAAAACTATTGCTGTTCTGAGCTTTTATGGAGGTAAAGGAAATTATTGTCTTGCTGTTGAATTTTCCCTTTCTCCCAGGTTTGCTTCCTGTAATAACCAGTTGAACAGTGGAGTACCTGACATGTGTTTGTTCCTTAGGCAAACGTGTAAAACTCTTCAAGTTCGAATGGAGGAGTAGAAAGAGAAGGTTTCTGCTGTGCCTGATGACAATTTTTAATAGCCACACTCAAAATATTCTGGCTCCACCATGGAGCACTAGTGTGGTGAATCCGAATGTTGGTCGGACTCTAAGGAAGGGACAGAAGTTTCGTTGAGGAGTAAAGATTCAAAACAACTCCAGAAATGAGCTCTCACCTTGGTTTATTTCTCACAGAGCAGCAGGTGTGTACATTGTGTTACAGGATTAACTGCAACCAACTCTTTCTTATGAAGAAAGAGTCCCCATTAGCATTCCAGGGGCCCCTGATTGCAGAGGAAAGATGAACTCCATACAGCTTTAGGGAACAGAAGGCAAAGGTCTGCCTCTGTGGTCAGTGAATAAAGGCATCGAATTATCTTTATTAAAAGAAAGGGGCATCATTCTTTGAACTATGATACCCACAAATGGAACAAATTTGCCACAAATAGCCAATATATTATTGTGAACCTAATATTACCACCTACAGTAGCGCTGCCCCCCCCCCCATCCAGTTGACACAATGGATAATACAAAACCCTGGTTGTATTCGTGGACCCCTGTCAGTGTTCAATCTGCCTATTAATTTGTAAATTAGCATGAAAAGTATTGAGCCATCAGGTTTTCACTGAGTTTTCATATACCAAATGATGATTGTGCCCTTACCTAATGGTCCATACTTTCTATATTTAAATTGCCCTATAATTAAATCAGCTATCTCAGACCAGCATCTAAGCAATTAGAAATAGCTAGAGTTAAAGATTCATATTTTGATCAACTTTGGGAATTCTTGACTACTGAATTTTGACCATTATTATTATTATTTTAAAATATAGTTTTATTGATTTCAGAGAGGAAGGGAGAGGGAGAGAGAGAGAGAAACATCAATGATGAGAGAGAATCATTGATCAGCTGCCTCTTGCACACCCCCCATTGGGGATCGAGCCTGCAATCTGGGCATGTGCCCTTGACCGTAATTGAACCCAAGACCCTTCAGTCCTTAGGCCAACGTGCTATCCACTGAGCCAAACCAGCTAGGGCTTGAGCATTATTACAAACAAACAAACAAACACCATCCAGAGAGGAAGACTGTATATCTGGGAAATAGAAAGGAGAAAAAGTAAAAGCACCAACATATTACCAGTAAATAGATGCTTCCCTGTTCTTCAGAAATGCATTTAGTTTAGCAACTTGCAAAAAGGGAAGTTTTTTCAGACATCTCTCATGTCTAAACTTCATTTTATGGGAAAAGATAGGCATGGCAATGAGAGAGGATGTGCAACTTCAGGCATGGTCCTAGCTTTGTCTTCCTCAAATCCTCAAAGTGACAACAACATATTCTTTATTCAGTCATGTATCTTAAAGAAATGCTATTACTAGGAACCACTTGCATTTCTAACTCAAACAAATCAGGAGGATAAGAGAAAACGTTGCTCTCTTAGTCATCCCTAGGTTACTAAAATGAATTTCTTAAGTTTCTGCCCTTCTACTCCCCAAATTCCACTGTCCTGAAATCCTGCTTTTAAGCACACTTTCTACTGCTTGTTTCTACTAGCCCTCAGATGTAGTGAGGCTGAAATTCTTGAGAAGTGTGACACTCTAGCAGATTTTAACTTTTAAATTAAGCCTTAATGACAAAGTGGGAAAAAAACTATCAGTTCAAATTACACATTAACGAATGAGAGGTTATTCTAAAAAAAATAAGCCTGCTATCAAATCTAGCAGGTAAAATACATTTTAATTGAATTCAAAATATCAACTGTCTAAAAATGTGTGAACTGTGCTGGTGTATGGAATAATCTTTTTAAAAAATCTATTCAGACTTCCTCCAAGCATTCAAAATAATAATTTTCCCATATTAAGGGCTTTTTGATATTTCTGAAGGAAACATAACTGAGTCCCATTATATTGGTGTCTTTCAAAGTTATCTTAATTTGGGGGTCATGTTTGACCTGCCTAAAGTGCATGATGGGGGTCTGGGGAAGAAGAGGCAGGAAAGTTTTAATTCTCCTTACTGTCCCAAAGAAATTTATTAGCTGCCAGAATTGAAGTCGGGAAATGTTTTGCTAACAGTGACTGTCATCCAGAGAGGAGCAGTTGATCTGCCTCTGAGTGGATGAATGTGCGTAAGTGGCTGTGCAAACAGTCATCTGTTTTCATGAGTCATGTAGAAGAGTTCATGGCGGGCGCACTGTACAGCTTTCAAAGTTCCAAGAAACAGTGCAGGTCCATCTGTTCCAAAGATTTATTTCCAGTCAAGATCTCCATGCGCACAGCATAGGAAGCTGAAAGCCATTGACAGCGGTTGAATTTGTGGTAAAGCTCACTAGTTCTGCATTCTAATTCAATGAGTGGGCTTTTTAGAAAAAAAGAAATCTGCATAGGGGTTATACCACTGATGAACGTAGGGAATCAGGATGAAGTTTTATCCCATGTGGAATTAGTCCTTCTTAAGAAAGGTCATCGTAGTTTGGGGATAGAAGGGAATTAGAAGCTCCCTGAATCCAACGGACTCTCGTGGAAAGTATGGACCCTGGAGATTCAGAGATTAAGTGACTTGTTCAAATTTCTAAAACTACTAGCAGGTTGTAATGCTGGTATAAAACTCTTATCAGAATAAGGCCTCCTCTCTCTCCTCAGTTGTGTGTGGTGTTCTGGTTCTCTGCAGAAATCTAGGAGGACTATATGCCATTTTCTGCTTCCACACGGAGCTACACCTAAATATAATGTTAGCTACCAAAAGGCTCTCTGTTGTTGGAAATGACTTTCATCCCAATCACTCAAGGTTGTTAAAGTTTTAAAGAATTTATAGAACAGATAACAAGGTCATCAGTGGAAATGCTGACTCTAGCTGAAGCATGAAACAGATAACCTTTGGTGCCTCAAATGTTAAAATAAATGATCAGACCATTTCAGCACTAGCCATTCTTAGGAAGGAAAATTAAACTGTGGTATGAAAATGCAACAGCTTTCAAGGCTGTTGGAATTACCATATCACCCTGAAAGGCAATTGTAGGTTTATTTTTTGTATAGGTGGTATATTTATGAAGGCAATTCATATGTCATTGACTTAACTTCATTTGTACCTAAAAAACGGCCTGGTCAGCTTGCCATCGAAGGATTATCCCGGACTGACAGGTGTCTTTCATTTTGTAATACCTCTCTGTATAAGGTGCTTTAAGATGGGACAAGAGCATTCATGTACAGTTACGACCAGCTCAATGGCAGATTTTCTCTAACTTAATGAGAAAACCTGCTACTGCAGAGTAATTATGTTTTAATTGCACATTTAGTAGACAGAAGTGAAGTGAGAGCTTAATTCATGTACTTGTAAAAGCTACATTAAAAAATACATTTGCAGTGAAGCAGCAATTATATTCCACACAAGGAAATATGCATTCAAATCAGCATTTAGGATGATGAAGATATTCTATTCTTCCTTTTACTTTATTGAGTAAGTTGCATTTACTTACTGAAATGTTAGTTTGAAATGGTGCCTATTTGTGATATTACTAAGGGGCTGTACTAGAAAGATTGGACATGCACTGCCTTTAAACCTACCACCCACATATTTCTTGCCTTCCAATTGCTTAAATATATAATGTTCATCAATCCAAAAGTAAATGTTTCCCTAATAACATGGGTATCCTAGTGAAAATTTAGCTTTTTTAAAAAAGAAATTGACTTGTAATGTTCAAAATGCAATGTCTTCTATTGTGTGTATAGGGTTCATTTTATAGTCACAGGAATGTAAAAATTATTCAGGAGTGTCTCATAATAAGATTTTAATGATCATACTGAAGAAGAGAACATATTATTTTGTGAATTTAGTTAATATGATATAACATTCACATTGATGCTATGGAAATTTGGCAGTGATTTCAGTTTTATGTAAACTGACAAACTGAATGACTGAGGTTCAAAAAATCAAAGAAAAACAATATCAGAGGAACCATCAATAATGAATAAATAAATGTACAAATCTTCATTTTGTTTTGGCATCATTATACCCTATTTATTTTTTAAGCCTAAGTAGTTAGAGTGCAGTGCTAATTTCCTAAATATTTGTCCTGCATGCAAAGTCTGATGGTAGCTGGCCCCTTGGAAAGGCAAAGAATGAAAAAGAATGGAATTATGTGTCTGTGAAGACTAATAACGTATGCTCAGAAATAATTAGGGGCAAGAACTAGGAATTCAGTGCATTCAGATTTCTAGGAACGTATGCATATGAATAATCGTTACCACTTGCTATGCTTATTGTGTGCCTAGAACCGTTCTAAACACTTGACCTATTAACTTCTCAGCTCATACACCTCTGTGACATAGATATTAATATACCTGTTTTACTCAAGGTCATGTCCTGAGTTATCACAACTGAGCTTAGCTTAACTTTGAGATACATTCTTTTTAACCACTGATCTGTATCACCTTTCCTGAAAAGATTATCTCTCCCCCAAAGTTCTTCAAAAGAGTGGTGCTTCATGCTAGATATAATAGCTTTATGAGTGACAAGAATATGAAAAGAAAAAATTGCAAGATCAGAAATAAGACACAGAAAATTAATTCTAATTGAGCAAGTCAATATTTGTAGAGAAATAAGAAGTATTGCCCCCTCCAATATGTATCCATCTTTTGTGCCTTTCTTTGGCAATTACTACCTCTTAATATTTAAAAAGCATTTAGCTGGACAGACACTTTGCAGGAACAACCTGATTTAATCAAAGTAGCAAAGTTATAGGGGCCGATAATACCCTTCCCATATTACACATGGGAGACTAAGGCACAGGAAGTTTAATTTATTCAACCCCACAATGTTAGAAAGTTATATAAGGCAGAGACCAGATCTCAGGCGATTTGCTACAGAGCCCACACTAAGCCTCTCACCATAATATGTGGTCTCTCCTTGATAACCTAGTCAGCATGACTTCAACGCCAGAGGGGTGGATAATTAGACTCCATAAATGTAATGATTTTAAAAGCATCTTTTACACATGGGAACAGAATAGGTTATTGAATATTCTTCCTTTTGAGACTTTCTAGTTTATCTTAACTTGAAGATAGTCAAGAGGATATTTCTTAATCTTCAAAATATAAAATGAGAGGCATATAAAATAGTTGACTTCACTTGATTTCAAATATGCCATATACCTGGGGGTTTTCTCTCTCAATTTCAATTGGTGATTTTAGTATAAATTTTGTGTAAAAT